CAACTTTTGTTTTTTTTCAATTTCATTTGTTTAAACATAGGGGCATTTTGGTTGTTTATATTGTTTAATAAATAAAATATTTAGTTTGGTCCTTGAATTCAACTTAATTCTTGAGTACAATTTATCTTTCAACTAGATCCTTTTTACTAATTTTCTCTATTTTATATTTTAATTATTTAATTATGTACTTTTCAAGGCTATTTATTAATAGAAATAAACTTTTAAGAATTTATAATTTGAGTCTATGCTTCAAGTTTATATCCTATCATAAATTTACTTAAATTTACGAACAACTGATACTACATTTTGAAACTGGAGTGCTAAATGTAAAAGTGATACTCCTAAAATTTTCAATGTGATTATTAAATACGGTTGAAACATGAAAGGCGTTTTAGTCAAGATACCTTTTTTTTCCTTGAAAAGAACTAAGGTCCTTAGAAATAATTTCAAAAATTAGATGTCTTATGAATTATATAAATAATAATCTAATTTCTTAAAATGTCATAATTTTATTAGAGTTTTTAGAGACCTCTATATCAATAAATTTTAAATTAAAAAAAATTATTTTATTTTTATTAATAAGTTGTAATTTTTTATTTAATTCTTGTTATTATTTAAATAAAAATTATTCTTTAAACAAAAGTTTTGACTGGAGACTTGTTGTTTTGAAAACTTATTTTTTCAACAATAAAAATTACACTTAACAAGTTATAATTTTTTATTTAATTCTTGCGATTAATATAATAAGAGTTATTATTCTTCAAGAAAAAATTGTGATTGTGGCTTATTATTTTGAGAGCCTAATTTTCAATAAAAAAAATTGCACTTGACAAATAGTAATTTCTCATTCGACTCTTGCAATTTATAAAATAAAAATTATTATTATTTAAGTGAAAGTTATTATTGAGGCTTGTTATTTTCAATAAGGGTAAAATAATTTTTTTACTTTAAAAATTAATTGACTAGAAATTTCAAGAAACGTTAATAGAATTATAATATTTTAAGAGATTAGATTGTTATTTATATAATTTAAAAAATTTTATTATCATTTTCCCTTTTATATATATATATATATAACTAACTAACTACTAATTTATCCTTAATCTAGCCTTTCTTTATAGGACAACTATTAAAAGGAGATTATGTTGCTATGAGAACAACTATTACCTCTCCTAAAGTTGCATACACTCCTCTATTATATTTTTAGGGTGAAGAGAGAAGAAAAAATTTAATTCTATTTATAGGGTACTTGTTAATTTTCAATTCTCCTCTTTATATTTTTACCCTTATTAAATATTTTGAATAATAATATCAATAATGAGATTTAATAATATTTATTGAGGATAAAAGTAAAAACTTATTAAATTTTAAAACAAAATTGATGAGGTTTATAGTTTTCTTTAATTTTGATGAAACATACTAAAAGTAACTTATAAATAAAATATGAGAAATTACATTTTCATATTCTTCCGTGTTGAAAAAAAGAAGCCCATTATTTTGCTCTTACATTTAATGTTATAACTTTGTTTTTTATTATTATATTATTTTTCTACTAAATAAATAACTCCATGCATTTGCCAGGCACAAAATGAACTGTAATAAGCACGACTGAGTGATGATTCATGAATAAAGTAGGTTCTATGAATCTCTATTATTTGCTCTTACATTTAATCTTCTCATTATTCTTGTTGGGGTCATCTCAGAAAGGCGATTTCCAAACCTGACTGCATTGCATAATTGCAAGGGACACGCCAGGTGGGTTGTTTAGTTTGGAAAAGGAGGAAAGCGTGATGCCTCACACTGTTACTCCACGCTGATCCGCCGTAGCAGTCAATATAAGAGGCACCTAGGCCCTGTTTGGTATGAGGTATCACATTTTGAAAGATTGGGAATGGAATTGGAAATGGGATTGGGAGTGGGATTGAGAGTGGGAATAAATTTTAAAATGTTGTTTGGTACACTGAGGGATTAAAAAAAAATGAGTCTAGGATTGAAACAAACAAATTACAAGAAAGACACAAATGCCCTCATCTTCTTCCTTTCACTCAAATTTTCCAGCCATCCCTAAACCATTATTCCTTCCATTAGCTACAACGTGCTTTACTTTGTTGCAGTTTGAAAAAGTTGTAAACAAACAAATAACCACCACTCAAAAATTTATGAAACACATATTAAAAATCTAGCAAAATCTGCAAACAATTTCAAGGGGCGAGGAGCATGAACATATCAAGCCAATACTCAAACTCCCTCCGTCTCTATCTCCGTCGAGGAGGGCGGCTCCGTTTTCACCTGCCCTTGCTTCTGCTACACTGCTCACAACCCAGAAACGGCGAAGACGCGATCTACATCTGGATCTGAAGAGAAGGGAAAGGGAGGAAGGTGAATGGATAGACTCGAACTCGAGCTCTAACCCATTAGACGTGGTAGATGCAAGGGAGGTTATTTGGTTAAGGGAGAGAGACGAGAGGGCGGAGGAGGCACAAGATGGCGAGAGGATGGGGGAGAGAGATGAGAGCGCAGGGGACGACGAGGGCAGAGAAAGAGGAGAGAGAGAACGGGGTAATTTGGTCAGAAAAAAATCAATCCCAGGATTGATTTTTCAATACCAGGTGAGAGGTGGTACTGGATAATCCCACCTAAATGGGATTGGGCTTGGTATTAAATTTTTCAATCCCTCCTACCAAACATAAAAACATGGAATTACTCAGTCCTAATACCAGTCCCACTCTTTCAATCCTCCGTACCAACCAGGGCCCTAGTCGGTTAACGAATTGGCTTCTCACTCTGTTCTCACGGAAACATGACACCTTCCCTACTCTAAAGCGCTCCCTCTCTGCCACCTGTCCCACGCAGCCTTCCCACGCGCTTTCCCCCCCCCCCCCCCCAAAACTCTTCCTCCCCCATATATACCCGCACTCTCAGCGTCTCTCTTATCATCTCTCTTCCATCCAGAATAACCGGAACGCTCTCTAGTTTCTTCTTCGACTCTCTCAAACTCTCTCTCTCTCGGCACCTGTCGTTATGGCGCCAGCGACCACATTCAAGGCCTTGGTTCTCCTCCTCGTCACGGCTCTTTTCGCCGCCGCCGCCTTCGCTCAGGACTTCAACTTGTCGCCCTCGCCGGCTCCGGCTCCGGATGTCGGAGCTGCCGGATCTGTTTCCACCTCCGTCGCCCTTATCGGCGCTTCCGTTGTCTTGTCAATGCTGGCGATTTTGAGGAACTAGATCAATCCATTCATTTTTGCGCTGATTTATCTATTCATTTATAGATGATGATATGATGTTGTAGGCTTTAATATTTATACACATACTGATGTATTGCTTTACAGATGAGTAGTGATTTGATTGATATGTTGATTGGAGAGTTGAGGTGTGTGGCACTGATATAAGATTAATAGGATACTCCTATTTATTTATTTATTTTGTATATTACAATACAATGGTGAATGAGTTTGAGTTTAATATTTTTAGACCCAGAACCATCGAGTCTTCGTATCATGACTCCAGCTTCTTCTATCAAGTCTCCAGCCGTTAATTTGCGCAATCCGTGTTTCTTCGGCCTGGCTTAATCCTTTTGGTTAAAATATTTCAAGTTAAAATATACTCTTATTCCTCTAATTCTGTACTCAATTTTAATTTAATTTTTTAAGTTTATAAATTATCTTTTCAATCCCTTAATCTTAACACTATTAATTTCATATGAATATTTTTTTATGTCAATTATTATTATTTTAAAAAATTAAACTTAATGTATCAATATTTAATAATATTTTATTGATATTTAAAAGTTTAATGTAAAAATTTTTGTGATAAAAATAACAGTATTAAGATATTTTCCTATCTATTAATCACAAAACATACTAGTAGAAGATATTTTCTTGTGTACTAAGGAAAGATGGCGGATGAGTTTGACACTGAGTCTAATACTAATACTAATTTAAATCTATTTTCGTGTTAATGTTTAATGAACAAGAGTCTCATCCTTTATCCTGTGTACATTTTGAGAAGTTCAGAACCTATCTTCCTACTTTTTCAGTTTAAAAATTAAATTTTAACATTTAGAAATTTAGTGAGCCATTCTCTTTTGTAATTAATAAAAATTATTTAAAAAATTTGCTGAGATGTGCTAGAGACCCAACGATCTTATTGGGCCCTATCCTTTTTTTGTAAAATTATTGGCCCCAACTTCTATCAAACATGGTCCTTGCATAATTAATAATTGTAGTGAAGGAAAGAAAAGTACTTTATAAAATGTTTTGATAATAGTCTACAATTAATCTATAATTGTGAACTATTCATGTCAAATTTTAACAATTTAAACTTATTTATTTTTTAATATAATATTATTATAATAATTTTATAAAATATTAAATCTCAACTATTCAATTTTTGATGCAAAGGAGGGAATGGGTTGAGGAGGGGAGAGGACAGGAAAATGAGGCGAAGGGATGAGGAGAGGCTCTTGGTTCCCAAAGAAACTTAGGATAATCACCAAAGTTGAAAAAAAGATTCTAATAGTAATTAGCATTAAAATTTGTGAGGAATGAAAGTGGACAGAATAAGTTTTAAAATAAAGCACAAAAAACAATCACAACATTTGACCATCAAACTAACTTCCTCAAGTTAGTACAACATGTTAATAAAGGGAAGAATGACAGCTAGATTCCAAAACATTAAATTAATGATAATTAAGTTTTCAATAAATTTTTTAAAAAAATAAGTTGAAAATATCAATCCAAATTATCATAAATCTAGGAGTTTCAATTGTATTTAAGTATTTAAGTATTAAATGTAACTCTTAAATTGTAACAAAAATTTCTTTTTATAACTGATTGAATTAATATTTATAATTTATTTTGTAAAAAATTTTGTCAAGAACTTAACTGTCATTTATTCATTCATTGGAGACTTAATTGTCATCCTCCCTTTATAAAGCAGCAATTGATACTTCATATCAACAATACACAAAAAGCATTTACACACACATAATAAAGCCAATGTACAAGAAGGAAGACGGCAAACTTATCATAGATCTAATAGCACTCTAGATTCTTTTAAGTAAATTAAAATTCAATAGAACCGATGAGAAAAAAGTAAAAAGGAAATGGAGAGGTAAAGCTCACCTGTGTGAGATTCACCAGAACAAAAGTAAATCTCATCTCTCTCTCCCTCCTCGTTTGAGCTAAAGATTTAACAATTCCCCTTATTTCACACTAGAATACAGCAGCATCATTACGGCTCCACTGGATTCCGTTCCTCATTATTTGATTCTTCAGGATCTTCATGACCAGACAAACTTGAACTACCAAGTGTCTCTGATGAAGGCATATCAGGATCAGCTAAAGATGAGCCACCCTGCTCCGCTGGAGGAGGCACAATATCCGTTTCTTGATCATCAAAACCTTCAGTTCCAAACCGCCATGAACCATCCGGACTCTGATCAGTTAATGGCATAATCTCAAATAGATTCAAGTCTTCAGAATCAGTGGTGTCTGAACTAGAATCTAAAACTGCTGACATAACAATAAAGCTAAAAGGGTCAGTTTCTTCATTTGAAATGCCAGCATCAGACTGCCGTGAACCAACTGGCATCTCTGATAGAGCAAATTGATTGAGCGTCATCTCTGATGAATCCATATCATTGAAAAGCTCCAAATTTGGAGGAATGAATGATCCCAAATCAGATTGATAAAGCAAATTCATAAAAGTTGATCTGAGTGGAGGTGGCGGTGGTTTGTGGTGTATCCATGTATATGAACCAGGCTTCACAGTATGCTGAAAGTAACAACATCAAAATCAATCTGAAAGTTAAAATTTTAATCTAGCCTATGCCTATTACAGCAAATAATTAGACATGAAAAAGCAAAGTCATCCAAAAACACTCACAACTAACCAGCAAGGCAACAATCCTGTGTACAAATTTTAGAAATTTATGCAGTATCATGGTCCAATGAAACTTGATTTTGGACTTTGGAACACTGCTTCTCTAAGTTCATTTATTTATTTACTTATTTTTCATTCTTTTTTCCCCTTAAACAATAGGCGTGGCATTTACTGCAACACAACAAAATATAGTTCTCAATTGAAAAAGAAAAGGAAAAATCTTTAATATGCCTACAGACTGCAGATGGTTACAAAAAGAAGTGGGAATAAATTTCATTGTTGTTCGTAGTTAGATACAAGGAGCTAATTGAGAGTTTCTGAGAACTTTCGATGGTATACAGACAATTGCTATGCAAAAAGAAACAATAATTTCACAGAAAAATCAAATGAACATTTTCATTTACGGCTCTCTCTTACAAAGTTAAAAAAAAAAAAATAAGCAGAATATACTGTAGAGAGGGAAACACATTTACCCTGTAGAAACAAGTATTCCTAAAGGGACAATATCCATTTCCGAAGTCAAAAAGCTTGCAATTAATCAACCTGAAAAGAAAAACGATAGCAGACAAGAAAAAATTGTTCAAGATCTTATTGGTATAACTTAAATCAGCTCTTTTCTCTTCACTAGGCATTGTCCCCCAGCAAAATTAGTGGAGTGTAACCCAAAAAAAAAAAAAAAACTGTATCCCATTTAACAAGGAAGGCTATTTTCCCCATCAATGACCACTTATGAAACCTTCAACAATTGACCAAAATTAAATAAAAGAGTAAATTATTCAAATTTTCCCAAAGTTTTAGCTCTTCTATATAGAAACTTGAATTTAATGATCATTAAACCAATAACACGCAGGGACAATTGAGTAGATGGGAAATTACTTGCAGCTTGTCTTGTAGTTGTCAATAATGTCCTGTTTCTCTTCCATTGTAAAATACCAAATACTACTTGGAATCACATAATATGATAACTTCCGGCACATGGGGCAGGTCTTCACATTTCTCTTTATTGCTGAGGTTGGAGCACTATTACGCCAATTCCTGATGCATGATAAACAGAAAGGATGATCGCACTCAGAAAGAATACCAAACTTACATTCATCTCCTTCAGGCTTTGAAAGAACACGTTCATAGCAAATTCTGCATTCTATTTCTTGACTTTTATTCAAAGTCTCAAGATAATTTTCCTTTTTCTCACAAGTTTGCAGATGCTCCTCTTTTTCATTTGGTTCAGAGTGATACAAGCAGAACTTTTTACAGTAAACACATCGTTCTCCAGGAACACAAGAACACTTTTTTCTTGATGGTAAAGCAGTACTGGGTTCACTGGCATCACAATTCCTTTGGTAATCTTGATGCGTAAGTTTTATACTCTTTCCATGTCTATCAAAATTTAGGAGCTGGCTTCCATGTTCTGAAGACTGTGCTTGAGAAGTTTGGATATGTTTATATTTGCATTGACCACCAAAAGCACATATTCCTTTCTGATGGAACCTACAAATCTGTTTTCATTTTTTTTAAAAAAAATATATTTAAGTATGATGAAAGAAACACAAACGTGCTAAGTATCAATAATTGGTAAGTAGGTAGAAGGGAGGCAGAATATGAAGGAAGCACATTAATTGAAGGATTCTTTCTGTCATGAGAATATTCACATTGGTTCCCTTTGATACATGCTCCACGAGCAAAGAACTTGCAATACCTAAAGGATCCACAAATTTAAAATGAACAAATTACAACAATAAGTAATTAGAAGAAAAAGAGGCCCATAATTTATCTAAATAACTCAAAGATTGAAGAGTAGAGTAACCAACTTGAGTTAATACACAACAACAACACTAACAACAAGCCTTATTTCACAAAATGAGCTCAGTTACATGATTGCACAACATCATTATACTCTATCAGCAATTAACTTTCAAATATACCATTGACCAAAAGATCTCACCTGATAACTTCCTTGGAGATGTTGAGTTAATACACAAGAATAACAACAAAAACAGGAAGCAACCTTATCCCTTTAGGAGGGGTCGGCTATATGGATTTCACAATGCCATTGTGTTTTATCGATGTTGAGTTAACACACATAGAGAAAAATACACATTATCATTTCAATTAATATACATAGAAGAAAATAGGAAAAAGCCTAGAAGATGTTGGAAGAAAGGAGTTATCATATTAGCACTTTGATTCCACACTAAATAAAAATATACCTATAGCATCACCAGCCCGGATATAACATAGGCTAGACATTAAAGAGGTAACTAAATTGCAGGGAAGGCTTCCTTATTTATCATTCATGCTAAGGAACCCATAATAGGTAAGAAAAACCAATTTCACAATCATTATTACTTGTTCAAATTAACCTTCTAACCAACCATGACTTACAAATGCCCTTTATTTCTTCTTTCACACCTGAACTATACATATATTAAGAAAAAAAAAAGAGTGAAAACCAAGAAAATCACAGTGAACATAAAGAAAGGGGAGACAATTGAATGTTAGCTGTAAAAAAAATTGAAAATTTACTTGATTAACAGAGCAATAACATAGATTTAGTTGAATTCGAGAGTTAAAAAAAAAAAAAAAGAAATTTACCTCTTAGACATAGGGAGATCTGTGAAATTGGTTGCTAAGAATCACAAATCTGAAGTAGATTTGAGGTTACGAATAGGAGTTCCGTGCTGTTCCTTCAGCCCCTTCTTGGAGTAATGAAAATGTCCTTGCATAGCAGTTACATAATCAAGCCTAACTGGCATGTAGATGGGATGCATCACGTGATCAAAGATACGAAAACGTCAATTTTCCGTTTAATCCTAGCCATTTGCTTGATCCATAAGCCTTATCAGGCCACACAAGATATAACATCAAAGCACACCGTTTTGAAGCCAATGATGTGATGCATTAGATTAGTACTTTTCTTGACAAACATGATGTGAATTCAATTCCTTGAAAATCTTGCCTTCCATTTAAACACCCTAAACATAGTGTTTCGCCATTGAAGATTTCTAAATTGAATCGCTAAATCCATCCAATTCTCTTGTGTTTGCCTTGATCCTCTTCTGATGTCAACCAAATGGCATCTATCTTGTAAACAGATAGTCTCGTTTGTGTTCATCTTAAAGCTATAATAGATAGTGACGATGGTCATCCTCTTCTCTTTATGCAAAGTCTGAAATAGTGATTGTATAAACTATTACTACATTTTTCTTCTCTTCCTTGAAATCGAAGCTTGATTATGTATAAATCTATATAAAGTAAATTCAATGAATTAGCAAGGATGTGACATAATTATCTGTAAGTATTTTTGTAATCGCTCTAAGTCTTGAAAGCTACCCTAACTCTAGGAAGCCCTCAAGACTCAACTCATGTAAGATATACATTCAACAGAATTATAGGATTGTCTTTATTCACTGGCTTTTGATTTCCTAAGATTAATACTTAATTGCATAAGAAGTTAAGAGTACTTGTTCCTGAGACTGATCTAGAGCCTAAGGAACAAAGATAGTTATATTGACATGTGTCAAAAGGATATACTAAGATGTTGAAAGTTCCTTGTTTAAGGCAATACAATCTTCCTCATAAGTTGTAAGCTTAAATGATAATGTAATACTGGTTAACCTTTTATCTCTTTGGTGAACATATAATTTCTATACTATATCTAATGGGTTTTCACATCATTCTTGTTGCAGGAGTGTCCTCAGAATGTAGGGCCAGTGGAACCTCACCCTAGTTATCTGATCACATTGGAATAAGGCTCTTTTGCAAGAAGACAAGGTCTAGTAGTACACTATTAAATCACGGTTTTAAAATTCAAACCCAGAATAGGAATACTCCAAGGTCTTACCCATAAGGAAGGTAGATGTATCACAAACCTCCCCACGTGTAAGAAGTAAGCGTGGTTGCAATGGATGCAAACAAATAAACTAAAATGGAGAGAAAAATATGTTTGGAAAAAATCAACGGATAGAAGTTTATATTCAAATTGCTTTCAATTCGCAAAAAATGGTTTTAAAAGGTCAATCTAGTGTCACCTAGATCTCATCTTCAATATTTTTTTTTTTGGAGAAAAATCTCACCTTCAACATTTACTCCAACGCTTGTCACCTTTGGTTCAATTGAAGTCAATGCACATAGACCGGTTGTCGTGATTAATTTTGTTGACTAGAACTTCCGTTAACATGTTCACCGTCTTGTCATTCTAGATTCATCCTAGGATTAAACAGGCAGTGATTGGATGCCAGGTTACTTAATCATGCAAGGGATGAACATGAATGCATAGGAAATTAACCCACAATTCATCATACATGACATCCCTTATCATGAAAACGATAGAAAAAACGAAGTATGCATAACATATAACCATTACCAACAATCATGTGACATGGAAAGTTAACTGGATCAAAAGAATTGAAGTAGCAATCTTTAATTGTTCAAAGTAGCAGAAGTTAACCTACCCCCCTAACAAGGCAACTTATCCTGCGCCGGTCAGGGTTCTAGAAACACATGTGAAAAGAAAACATCAAGCTAGAATTACACAATTGCATCCTAAGCTAAAGAATGGAGTAAAAGCAGATTAAAAAGGATAAAAGAACTTATATTTGTGTCTTCACTAGCATAAGCTCCCTTTAGCTCTGTGTTAACAGCCTCCGAGACTCCTTCCTGGACGTTTAAAGACCGTCCTTAACTTCTTCCAAGTTGCTGAAGAGTATCTAAAGGCTCTTTCATAACATCACAATGCTAACATGGATCTTGGCTGCGAGTAATGCTAGGGTTTCCTTGTTCCTTCACTAATTCTTTCGCAATAGCGCCTCGACGGAGCATTTGTAAGGTCCCGCTTGGTATCATGACTTTCGTAATTCGTCCTGTGAAATTTGGGTTTTCCAGTAATGTCATGGCTGTAAATTCATGCACACCACGACTTGTTCTTCAGGATGATCTCTCGTCTGCGCAGTTGATTGGTATAAATGCGTCACTTTTAGCACTCGTGCATTGCGACAATCCTTGCACTGTCGTTCTTGGGCTTCTCTAGGCCTTTTGTTTTTGAAATCAAGAAGAGTAATAACTCGCTAATAAGATTCAAATGCCTTCAGGGTAAAGGCTAGAAATATTATCATGACTCTGATTATTATTAATCCAGACCCGCTGCGTGGTACATACTCATGACAGTTTCATAGATTGCTCGGGGATGCTTTCAACATTGTTGGCCTTGTTTGGTACATTGAAATCAAAAATGAAATTGGAATCAGGCTTTAATAGTTTAATATGTATCAATTTAAGTGCCTGTTTAAATTTTAATTTATATTTATTAAAAATACATTTTAAAAATTTAATTATTTGTTAAATTTAACAAAAGCATATTTTAAATGTAGTTTGAATATACTTTTAAAGATTACATGCCTTTTAGACTTCTCATGAAATCTGATTTAGCCAAAATACTAAAAATCCAATCTCATCGTTATCACAAGTGAAATTGGGCTAATTTCATGGCATTGCTCTTTCCCCTCTTTTCACCATTAGTTGTTAGTAATAGAGTTGTTATCTTTTAAATTTGTTAGCCATATATTTAGTCTTTTCATATTATAAATGCATTTATAAAATTAAAAATTATATAAAATTTTATTATACCAAACATATTTTTATATCTCAATTCCATTTCAATAGGATTCCATCAAAAATACTTTCATTATTGTATTAAACGGGGACCTTCATTCAAGGCAATTATATATTTTAGGATTTGAACTCTTCAGTCAATTAAACCAACAATTTTTGTCTCTTAAGTCTATTCAATTCTCATCCAATATAACTTTAAAATGAGACCATTTGGTACAAAAAAATATCAATGTAACTTTAGGGTGAATCATTATCACATTTACATTAGGGCATTTTCATCTTTGTGGATTAGAGATCGAATATTTAAATGTAATTTTTTTATAAAAATAATCTAGCCTCACAAAACTTGAAAAGTGAGTCGATTTTTTTTTTTTTAAGAAAAGAAAAGGGAAGGAAAGGAAAGGAAAATACTACGTGAACTTCATATTCATCCAAAGAATTAGTATACTATTTAATATGTGTTTGGTGTTGTTTTGGTGTTTGTTATCACATTTTGACCATAGCACTATGAGTAGTTTTTTTCCCTATCAAAATTAAGTTTTGATCAAAACCAATAGATTATTGAGCACAATTAAACCTCAAAGATCCTTCTCTAATACACTAGTCATAATCAAGGTATTAGCCATCATAAAGGCCATTACAAGACATGATGGCATGCTCCTTCACATCATATACATTCATCATGGTCCTAAAATCTCATTCACTAAACTTTCAATATACTATAAATCATGTTAAATATTCACAATTGTTTTAATGACAACACTATCTTCCTCATTAGAAAAGAGCCTTAATTTGAACTTAGCATTACGTGTTTGTACACATGTATAGGTGTGTGTCTTCCTTTCTTATAGAAAAGTACTAGGTTAAGTGTAAAATGCAAAAAAAGAATAAAACATATTAATTGAAAAATAACCCTAGCGACAGGAATGCTATTGAGCAATAAGATAGAATTCAATAATAATAATAATAATAATCCTAAAAATGGAGGATAAAATCACATCTTGTGAAATTTAATTTACCACGTACATTTTTTTAAACTATAACTATCTTACAAATATAAATGTAACATTTCCTGATAAGAACTAAACGAACTAAAAAACCATACAGGGATTGATCAAATTCTAGAGGATTAGCAAAATGTCTGCCTTGTCATTCATTTCCAACCAAAATATATCGTCAACCAAAGCTTGAACATTGAAAGTACTTGACACAAGATGAAACTGAAGGAGTGAGTGATATACAATTCCCCGACCAATATTTTGACAACGCACCTAGATATGACAAGCAAACAACCAAAAGAACTGTGAAAAGAGCTCATACATTTAGGAAACAAGAAACGAAGTCTCCATTATCTAACTGAGTCCTATGATTCAAGCAACGTTTTTATGTCGAAACAGTACAAGGAACAATTTTAGCAATTACACCACTAATTGGGAGTTACCATCGTGTCTGTCTCCATTTTATGATCCCACGAAAATCCCTAAATGGTCAGATGTTACATCAAATGTAATATCAAGGAAATTGAGCTACCATGCCAAAGAGCTGGAACCAGAGATGATGGTGCAAAAGAGCCAGAGAGTGAAATAAATATCCATATCAATCATCCAACATCTTACGGAGACGATTCTTGATTAATTCACTGCGAGCCTTTGCCCGAGCTTGTTGAGGACCTATATTTGTCAGAGAGAGATAAGCACCAACGGCGAATAATGAAGCACCGGTGATAAATGCACTGGCAGTTATAACTAGCTGCCGTGCTGTAGGTGGATATGACCACAAAACCATAGTCTCTGCTTAAGTTGAGTTCGGCTCACACACGTTATCCAGCTTCGTTCTAATGCACCACTTCTTTGTCTGGTTTGAACCTAGGCAAAAGCTCTGAAGTCAGAATTGTTGTCCGCGACAGACATTTGGAAACCAAATCCCGGCCATAAAAAATCAGACATGTATGAGGTACAAGAACTCTGTTTTCATTTATCTAGAAACTGGCCACGCAAAAACTGTTCATATAGCATCCCCATAGCAATAATTAAAGCGACATTCAAGTTAAACCATACTACTCATACTTCCTAATCATCAGTCATAGGAAACTTTCAGAATTAGTCACTGGATTCCATTGATTCCACGCATTTAACTTCTAATGAAGAGAAAGAGAAAAACATTGTTGGAGCCTGTCTCCTAAAAGTAGCACAAATAACAGAAGATATCAATGCCTGAAGAGAGTGGTTTGTTAATGGTGAAGAAAACACATCATCTTTGAAATTTACATGGGCTTGAAAATAAAGCATCTCAGGCGAGTGATAAAATTGTAAAATGGAATGGTATCTACTCAACCAAAATCAACAGAATAGTTAACCCTCTATGTCAATGAATCAAAGCTAAACCCCCATTGCGAAGGTATCCACAAAGCTACGGTCAATACAATCCCCATGAAATCAACACTTGGACAACTTAACTGATAGCTAATATTCTCAATTTGACGAAATTCATCCCCTGATATCAATAATTCCGGTTCTAGCTCAAGTTTGCTACTCCTATCTCAACAACCATATTCTCAATCTATCCTAGAGTGTTCGAATCAATGATTTGACTTATAAATCATCTCAGGAAGCTAACAATTTCAATAAAATACATGTTTGTAACACAACTTCAGCTCTGGACTAAATCTGACTGTAGCCAGGTATCTTTCTCCCACCCCTTTCCCTCATCTTATTCCTCACAGTGGAAACATCAATCCATCGCTCTGCAGCAGCATAGATATTAGACAATAGCACGTAATTAGCAGCTTTTTGAGGCTCAAGCTCAAATAGTCGATTAGCAACAACCTCTGCTAAGTCTGGATCGCTATATAGCTTGCAAGCCCCAAGAAGTGCACTCCAAGCACCAGCAAGAGGTTCTATAGGCAATGATTTTATAAGTTCGTAGGCAGCCCTTGTATACCCTGATCGGCTAAGAAGATCAACCATACATGCATAGTGATCAGGAGAAGGACTAATGCAGAATTTATGCTTCATGGAATTAAAATAGTTCCAACCTTCATCAACTAGTCCAGAATGACTACAAGCTGTCAGGATAATTGTGAAGGCCACTTCATCAGGAACTAGTCCTTCTGTCAGCATCTTATTGAAGAGGTTTATAGCTTCAACTCCATGCCCATGAATTGACAACCCCTGTATCATTGAACAATATGAAATTACATCTCTTTTAGGCATGTTTTCAAACAGTTTTAGTGCCCTCTCCAAGTTTCCACTCTTTGCATTCATATCCATAAGAGCTGCCATCACATGATTTTGTTGAAGATCAATAAAGCTCTTGCTTACATAAGAATCAACCCACTGTGTGAGTTCTATACACCCCAACTGGGAACAAGCAGACATCAAGCTGACCAATATAAACTCATCAGGCTTAACATTCAAAGACTCCATCTCTAGAAAAATTAGCAATGCTGCATTAGGCTGACCATTCTGGACATACCCTGATATCAATACAGACCAAGCAACAAGATCTTTATCTGAGGATTGATCAAACAATAACCTAGCGGACACCATATCACCACTTCTTGCATAGGCATCAATCATAGTCGTAAAGGAAACTACATTCTTTTCAGGCATGGAGTCAAATACACCTCTAGCACTGCCCAAATCTCCCATTTTTACAAACCCTTGAATCATTGCATTCCATGAAGCAACATTTTTCTGTGGCATTACATCAAACAACCTCTTTGCCTCCACAACATTTCCAACAGCTACATACCCAACCACCATAGCTGTCCAAGAAACAACATTTCTCTCCGTCATCTCATCAAATACCTTGCGAGCATCACTAGTCTTCCTGCATTTCCCATACATGTCAATCAAACTCGTACCTACAAACATACACTGTTCAAACCCACACCTCACAGTTAATCCATGAATTGATTTTCCTTCCCGCACAATGCATAAGTTAGAACATGCTTTAATCACATATGGGAATGTGTAGCTATCAGAAAGACAATCCGCTCTCTTCATGCGTAAAAAAGCATCAAGAACATCCACAAAGGAGTTCTTTTGGCAGTACCCTCTAATGAGACAGTTCCAAAGCAAGGTGTCAGGTCTGATAACACGATCAAAAACACTTACTGAATAATTGAGAGGAGCAAGGGAATTGGAGAGGGAAATGAACTTTGCAATGACATAATGATCTTGCTCTAATCCTTTGCTGATGATTTGCGCATGGACTTGGTTTAGATGCCCAATGGTCTTGCAAAATCTAAGGAGGGATGTGATGCTACTATCTGAGAACTTTAATAGCCTATAACCTGAAGGGGCCAAAGAACATTGATGTATGGAAAGCATTGGAAGAAAACGCCAGCATTTGTTGAATGTTCTGTTTTGGGAAGAATTGTACATTATCACCAAAAATGGAAAAAAAAGATACATATTGATTTCATTTCTTGATAATCATGGCTCATTTAAGTTCCTAGACAACCATAGAGACATATAGATGCATAAGTGAATCTAAAGAATGCAAATGTGTCACTGCCAAGTAAACATTACTTTCATCATAGAATATAAAACTCAATACATTTTCCAAAAGAAATATCCGTGCTTATTGTCCACTTGGGAAAAAGTCACAATAAAATATGAGCAATAATTACCAAAAAATCCAACGTCCACACACACACGTACACACATCGCAATGAATTTCCAATCAAATCTCAGGAACTCCAATGCAACATATTTGTTCAAAAGTGCAACTGAATTTTGCCTAATAAATAACGCATTCTCTGCATACAACACCCAACTGAGAAACCATAATCTACTGAAGTTCATCATGAAAAATGTCCAAATGCAATCATCACTTATAGCAAGAGAATTGGTGCAAAAACAAGGCATGAATCTGTAATGAACACCATTTACAAACTCAGCATCAGAACAAAGAGAATAAATTGAATTATAACAAAGAGGAAGGCGACCAGAATTTATCTAACACCTTCAAGGCTTTCCCCCCTTTTCTTCTGTGTGTATTGATTTAAATCAAAATTTCTAATTTCCACTATTGCCTTCGAGTCATTCAAATCAATTGCAGACTCCTTTCTTGTGATTACTCATCGGCGCAGTTTGTTAATTTTAAGCTTGTGGATCCTTTTCTTTGCTCGTGGAGCATGTTTCAGAGGGGAGCAATGTGAATGCTTTCATGACAAAAAGGATCCTTCAGTTAGTGTGATTGATTCTAATCCTGCCGTCCTTCTACCTACTTACCAACACACAATATGTACTATATTTTGTATCTTTCTCATATATCTTCTTATATTGCAAAAAATTTGCAGATTCTATCAAAAAGAAATGTGCTTATGGTAGTCAACGCATATATAATCATGTTCAAGACCAACCTCTAGATTCTGATAGACATGAAAAGGTCTAAAACTTAAGCATCAGTTTTACCAAAGGAATGGTGATTCCCATGAATCTAGCACTGCTTTATCATTATGAAACAAGTGCTGTGGTATTGTAAAAACAACTGCTTGCATCATCTAGGTTGCATAGATACATGTATGAGTATCCGATAAAATACAGCATGAGACAGGGATATGGCAAATTTTCAAAATTTTAGGATATGGGTATAGGGAGGCTTATAATATATATTTCAACATTTTATGATATAGGTATAGGTATTTTGATTTTTAAACAAAAATTTCTAAAATAATATAATGATATTTATAACAATTAACAAAATGATAAGTGTTTCTTTTAAGTGATATGGTAAAAAATTATTGAAAAAAAAATCATATTACAGATATTAGAATATGGATACGTATGCCAAAGAATCCTACAAGTATCGTATCAAATATGGATACGTTTACTTTTTTAAAATATCTGTGCTTCATAGTGCATCATTCTGAAGTCTGAACCAAAGCAAAGAGAGAATAATTGCAAACTGTTGGGAAAAGGGAAAAGTACCTTATGACTTTAATCAAAGTTAGAGAAATAGGACGTTGATCCAAGAGCCAAAAAAATGGGTCTAGTCAGTTCAATCAATGGCAGGCCCCACAATTTCTTGGTGGGTGAAGTCAGGGTTTTAACTACAATATGCCTTCAAACTTTGGGGGTTCTGAGATTCTGAAGATGATTTATTGGATGACACAAATCAGGGTTTTGCCGCTGATGACAAAAGGATCTCTGGAATTCACATAGGAAGTTGAGAAAGTTTTCACAATGCTAAGATTGAAATTTCTAGAGTTTTGACCAAACAGCCTGTTCTGGTTCTCCAAGCTAGGGTTTTTGGAAGAATTTAGGGATATTACGATTGAACTTGATATCTAAAATGTTCTGGGTTTTGCATATTGTTTGAGGGCATTAACTGTGAACACAGTGTCAAAGTGAAAGTGGAATAGTACTGGGGATTGAAGAGGGAGAACAGGTTAGACTCAAAGATAGGACTTTGCTGCTTCATGAAGATCACAGCAGCCATCATTGTTGTCTAGCTGAATTAGACTCATAGTAGGAATGAAATGCCAAATGGTACTGAATAATGACATTCAAAATTTCCAAGGTAAATCTTAGGTGGAGCTTGTGAATTAACGCTCAAATTAGCTTAGCATTCTTAGCACAGATTTAAGACCAAAAGCATGATTAAATCATGCTAACAGGCAAGGGAAAACAAGAGTTTGTGCAGAATTTAAAACCCAACTTCAAACCACAATTTAAACAAAGGCATAGTTGTAAAAGCTTTGACCAAGACTAAATGAGTTTATGCCAAATCAGACAGGTCAGCAGGTCTTGCTAGAGGTTCAACCCTGATTTTTTTTTTCAATAAAAAAAAAGCCCTGACCTCCTATTAACCGAAACGCTGCAAACTGCATGGACCAGAATTTACTCCTACAATTCATATAAGGAGCAAGACACCATAGTTGATATAACAAAAAAATTCTGATGAATTTTCACGCAAGAAACTTATCATCAGAGTAGGCGAAGTTATAACCCAATTTCTATTAGCAACAGAACTCCACAAATTAATCCACTCCTAACTAAATATCACCATACTTCCCTTCTTCCATATTAAAAAAAAAAAAAAAAACATCAGACAAGAAGCACAACGGAAGAAAATGAAAGAAAAAGAAGAAACCACTCCCCAGCTGCCAAATCATGATAATGAGCTCACCTCTTGCAACAAAATCCTCAATCTAAACACAACCGAAAGCAGCAACAAGGGTAAAAGACAGACTCTTATTCTTCATTTCCTTTTTATACATCACCCATGTATGCGTTCAATCAGGAAAATAATGGCTGATCTTCACAGTGCAATACGCATTCCCAATTCAAACAGCACTTAGAAATTGAAGATACAGAAAGTTAGGCAGACAAACAGGCAGCAACTACCCAAAATATTAGAGCAGCCATCGTCAATTCATAATCTTGAATCGAACTAGAGGTATTCCCCGTTGCACATCAGGCAATGATTCACTCCAAAACATCCTAAGGTTGCATCAAACACACACAGCAAGTGAAAGAATCTGAAACAGATACCTGTTTGACTGTTTCTTCTGTTCCAAAATGCTACTCCGTGTCCTTGGTCCTCCGTCTACTAATTTCACCATTCAAGCTCAGGTCCTCTTTTACTCTTCATTCATCCAAGATAAGAATTGAGTCAGGGAGCACTCCCCGTTCCTGGAAAAGGTCAGGTCACATGTTCAAAAGATCCAAAGCGAACTAAATCGAACCAAAGCTTCCGAATTTATTATAAATTTATTTTTTTATTTAAGTTTTTATTTTTTAAAAAAAATTAAACTAAATCAAATCAAATTTTATTATAGCTATTTATATATATTTTGATAAATTTATTTAATATTTTCTTTTTATCAAATTTAGTTATAAACAAATCACCAGTTAAAAATATCCTAAAATTATTTAAATATGATATAGAATTATTTATAATAGTTTTTAATTTTATAATTAAGTCTTTCAAGGATAACAATAACATTAGTTGGTAAAAAATAAAATATTTTATAATTAATTTTTAATAGTTACTCCCTCTAAACCTATTTATAAATCACTTCCAGCATGTTTTGTTAGAACCAAAGAAAACCATAAACCTCATTAAATTGTCTCAAAATTTAACAAGTTTTTACCTTTACCCTAATTAGTGTTCTTAAATCTTATTACTGTTATTTTAATTCAAAGCATTTAATAAAAAGCAAAAATGTAAAGAGGAGCCTTAAAAATTAACAAGTATCCTATAAATAGAATTAAAATTTTTCTTTTCTCTCTACTATATAAATAGGATCAGACGAGTAATGTGTTAAATAATTATTAAAAATATTATTTTGCTATCAAGAGATATTTTTTCATTGAAATTAATAATTAATAGTTAAAAATTATTAGTAAGCATGCATACACACACACAACAAAAAATATCTATAAAAAAACCTTAAACTTGATCCATGAAAAAACCAAATTGATGCTAACTCCTAGAATTTTTTTTTTTAATACATGGCCATAGTAAGCTGTGCAAAAAAACTAAGATTTAGTCATGTCTAAAGCCAAAAGGCTTCTATAAGCATGCGGAGGGACATCAAATATTGTAGTATTAAAATTATCATGAGATATCTAGTAGGCTAAACAATAAGCACATCTATTTGAGTCTCTATAAACATGATCAAATATGACCACCCAATTCCTCATTGTGAGATCGTTGATTTTTGTAATGATGTCGGAGAAAAGATGACTTCCAGAGTAGGTGTAGTTGATGAGAAAAGTGCTTCCATCGAATCCAAATGAACATTAATTTTGTATAATTTTTCATTCCCAATAGAGGATAAGCCCTTCGTAGATTCCCATAAACTTAGCAGTTGTTTGAAAGCCAAGATACTTGAAAAAGCCTTTGATCTAATTTCCTTTGTCATTCTTATGATGCCTCTACAAGCAGCAGCTCTATTAATGTTAACAGCATCATCAGTGTCTAGTCTAACCTATCCGAATTTAGATGGTTTCCAATTAGTATCATAACTAGTGCTTCTTTTATTCAAATGATTGGTTTTGGATAAAAGCTTCATATCATTACAGATTTGTTGATTGCTAAAGAAGGCAATATCACTTTCTCGAATCTCATCTTCTGAGTAGAGTTTCTTGTATCTTGCTTTCTAAATATTCCAGCAGGCTTGGGCGAATAGATTCTGCCAATGTGTTCTTCTTGTGTTCAAGCTCCTTGCTTCATTCTTTGCGTTCCATCTTATCCAGCCTTGCAATTCAAGAGAGAAAAGTGTAAAGTTTACTGACTCTTAGAATTGATGAAACATTGATTTGGTTCAGTTAATTACTAGTTATAAGGTCATCCCACTTTAACTCATTCATTATGGTAATCACAGAATTAACCTAAAGATTATCAAGTTTGTAAAATCATATAAATGGGCCCCCGAGTTTTAAAGACCCTCTAATATACTTTCATAAATATAAAATCAAAGCAAAATGTGTTTATAAAAATATGGAATATTGACTTAAAGCATTTGTATTTAAGTTGAAAAATGACTATTTAGTATAGTGAAGTGGAGGTGCGCTATAACATATTTATCTTTTTGCCATGCACCATGACATATTACACAAGTTTGACATCAATGTTTACTATCAAAACTTCATACGTGCCTCATTCCTCCGTCTGACATTCAATTGAGGTGATCTAAGTGTTTTAGAAAGTTATTTCAAAAACTCTAACTTACTAGTGTTGGTTTTCACTCACAAATTATTTTTCATTCAAAAGTTTGACAGCCTTTATGAATTCACTCTTTTTTACTTTTAAACTCCACTAGGGTGTCCAATTTTTCTACTAAGTGTCATACGCTTACAAAACCCCTAGATCGCACTCAATAAACTAAAAAGAACTTGTGCAACATACCATAACATTTCATAATATAAATATCACATGTTTAACTCCCAACCTCTTGAACACAAAAATAGAAGGTGGAAACAAATTCTCATAAATAGACTCATAAACCATCGCATTTATGCATTTATATATTTTCTTACTTGCACTAGTATTTCAACCTTTTTTTAGACCTTGCAAACATGTCATATACAATTCAAGGCTCAAAATACATATTTAAATCTGATCAACTAATAGTGTAAGTAAGTCATAATAGTATAGATACCTAGTTGGCAATTATCAAATCAAACCACATTACAAAATAATAGAGGTCTATAAATTAGGAACCAATGTCTAAGCCTCTAATACTTTTCTCTTATCTTGGTTCGAGTAGGCCTTGTAAGTATTAGAGAGAAATGAGTGAGTATAACCACTCAGTAATCAAAGTTAATCTAGCCTATATAAATACATGATAATCAATTATAATGATTCAAGTCATTTACACAAATTTCACAAGTTTAAGCTTTTCGTTCAAAATATTTGTCACAATCACAATACTACTAACAACCATGTGATTAAGTACAATCATACAACAAAACTTATATCAATAATAATCATTGATACACATAAAAGGATATAATACTAACAATTATGTGCCCCTGTCAAGTTATGCAAAACTACAATAATAATAACCATGTGATCATATAATAATACACATGATCAATGCCATCCTTATACCCTATTAATACCTTCGACATGAAATTCTTGGCTATTTAGTGAGATTTGTCATTTGATGCGGCTACCTAAGCCTTTCACTTGTGAAAAGTGCTCAGCCAAGGCTACTACATCCACTTATAAATATTATAATTTTTCTAATACTAACAATTATGAGATATCGTACTTTTAAACTAGCCTCCTTCTAAATAGATAAAAACTAATTAGGTCAAGTTCCTTAATAAATAAGTGAGACAAATCCCTCAAGAACAAGTAGAACAATGAAAATAAAAGGATAAGCTATTGAACTTTGAATGGTGGCCTTACCAAGTGAATTTAGAATCTTTACTCCACTCTCGGGTAAACTCCTACCTCCATGGTCATACAGTGCATATATGCTTAGCTCTAATAAGCAATCACTTATACATCAACTCTTGGCATACAAATTCTCAAGTATATGCATAATGCAATCACAGCAAATTTACTCACATCTATTTCTATTCATAGCATTATTCATTTTTTACAATCTCAACCTTTCTTCTTGATCTCAGTCACAATCACATTATTATCACATCATATTTCTCATGCATGTTCTCATGTTTATGCTCAAACAAGCCATTTATCCCACAACTTCACATACAAAATCATATTATCAAAACTTGAATTAATAATTTATGCCACACTTGCATTTAACATGTTCAAACACACTATTCTTTTCCAAAAAAAGTTTTAATTATTTATAACTAACTAAAAATAATGTACAAACTAATTTTCTTAATTAAACTTTTAAGAGATTAAAAGTTTATCTTTCAATAACAAATACTTCTAAAGCTTCAATTAGCTCAAATGGTGCCAAGAACAGTTAATT